ATTACTCTTATAAACTTACATTTAATCCGTTGGTTAGGATTCTAACCAATAACTTTAGAAACGGTCGAATAATGTACCGTTTGCTCCTGTCATTACACATACACAATTCTCATAGCAACACGATCATTTTCAACAACTGGGCATTTCGCTGTGCGCCACCTATTTTTAATTACAAAACTCTACAGAAACGCAGCCGTTTCTACAGCTTTTATTATTTATTTATTTGTTCATATTATTTACATTGCTACGCAACAACATGATTTTAATGTTTTTTAATATGTATATTAGTACTTAATCAATCCTCTGTGATCTAAACAGTGTGGCGCTAGCCGAGATATCGATAGATTGTGGGTTCAAATCCCACCAAAGACCGCTTTTTATATACAAATATTATAATAAGAAACTTATAATAAGAAACTTTGGTTGACGAACTATGTTTGATAATATTTTATACCATCATGTTCCCGTATATTTGAGCAATGTATTATTATCTATTTGATAAACATTATAAGTGTTCCCAGTGCTAAGCAGCAAGTCCTCGGTATGTGTTGAAATTGCTGCCATCTTGCAAAGATAACGCTAGCTTAAAAAATCGAATAAAATTTGGAAATATCTTACCTGATACCAAAGTTGATGGAGGTTTAGGTGTCCTGAAAATTTAAAAAGCTTTCCAATTAATAATAATAATAATAATACCACCAACAAGATAATCTGAGATTACAATCCTTTGCCCTGTTACGCCATATTTATAATAAAATATTAATGGCGTTTTATTGCATCAGACCGGACCGCTTCATCATAGGCCCTTACATGGCAGGCTCATCAATCGGGCAAGTTTGCACTGCGGCGGACTGCTTCCAATCCTCGGGCACAATCTGAATCCCACTCTGGCCCGCTGTCGATCTTACCATAGAGGTAATAAACATATACCTCTATGATCTGTGCTCGTCCGCTCGGCATAGCCAAACAAAGCCAATCCACTTGAATTGGCTCTGTCGGCAGATGCGGCCAGAAAATATATAAATAACATTCTTAAATCTTCAACATAATTTCGATCAGCACCGAATTTAAAGATACCGAGATACATGTAACATTATCAATGTGTGGACAGAAGACGCACTATTGCAATAACTCCTCGGAAAGGCAAAGGTAATATTTTCATTTTATTTATTTTGTATTTTATTCATTCAAACCCCAACAGCGATGAACACTGCCACTAACAGGTGTTATAAACAATATTATATAAAAAATGAATACTGTAAACAAATAGCCAAAATGTTCACTGATTAATCTCAGATAAGACAGTACTGGCGCGTAACAGGGGTCTTAAAAAGGTAATAATTTTCCCGGTTAGTAATTTATCATACCCACCCAATCCCCCCTCTCCATATAGAAAACAATACGACATGGGGCTTATCTTATTTATAATATAAAATTATTAGGCCACACACGTGTGTTTGAAACTAAATATAAGAATTTTCATCATGCTTTTATTTATTACAAACATATTCTCTCACCATCAATACACATTGAGGTCCTTCTTTTAGGTAAAACGATCTACCTTAAATTTTCTTTCTTGGGACTAGTAGGCCTATGTGTTTAAATAACCTAGAAGGCTAACCTTAAAAAATGCGGGCAAAGCGCGCCAAAAAAATTGTGTTTTTAATTCAAACATCGTCGGAATTGATTAAAAAAAAATAGCCTTCCTAAAGAACGAATGCGCGCAAAGCGCTCGAAAATTGAGAATTTTAGGCACTTTCAGGGGGTGAAAAGGGCATCTTCAAGGGGTGATGGGTATTTTCCCCTTTTTCTCCCGGTGGTTACGCCACTGCGGAGAATATCTGGCGGCTTAGATCAAGGAGCTATGGACACTTTTTGAAGTAGAGAAGGGGTTGCAGGGTGTTGTGAGTCTGGTCATTTTGACATCTTCTTTTCTCTTCTCTTTTTCTTTTTTTTTTTCCTTTCCTTTTCTTTTCTCCTTCTTTCTCTTTCCTTCCTCTCCCCTTATCTCTTTCTTTTCTCTTAGTAGCGAGCTTTCGAAATTGGCGACGCGGGGAGCTGCGACGGGGAATTCAGTTAACAATGAACGTCGTACTATGCACTTCCCGTCTCAACATAAAAGCTGTTTCGATTTACTGGACGACGCGCTCCTTCGTATCGCGTGATCAATTATGCAGGCTCCCCAGCGAGCGCGTATTTATAAAACTACCGTTGCCGCAGTCAACACATCGCCAAATCGCTTAAAGTCCGTTGTCAAATCCACGCAACGAACGACTTCCCCATGTATTCCCATGCATTTGAACACCTGGAGTAAACAAATATATAATATCAACAACAAACAAAAAACAACACATACAAAATAAAAATAAAAAATCATTTCATCGAAAATCTCACATTAATAACAATACCAATATAGACCGGTCGTATATGAGGTGTAGGTGTCACTTTTTGCAGAATTTACTAGACCAACTTTTTCTGGGGTAATTTTGGGCGTAGAATGCAAATCTGATTGTTGATCGGGACGGGGAGGGGGCTTTTTCGAGATATGTGGGGCCAAAGGTCAAATCTGGCATATTTAAGGAAGGGATCACAAAAGTGAATTAGTGTACCAAAATAATGTTTTCTAATGTAATTTAGGTCATAGATTCCAAAAATGACAGTATATTTAACAGGTATGGGGTCGTTCAAAAGTTATTGAGGTCAAAGGTCAAATAAGACATAATCTGGGAAAGGGTGTTGCCTGTGTGATAAATGTGGAAAAATAAACTTTTCTGACATATTTTTGGGTGCGTTTGTTATCATTTTCGGGTGGTGTTTTATTTCGGTGAATGCTTCTTGCTTTTGTGAACTTCTGGTAGCATGTTCTGTGGAAGCCATGCTTAAGTGAATCATAATTTGGTTCAGGCACAGATAAACATTGCTCAATATGATAGTGATCTCCGCCAAGATCTTTACGAATAATCTTATTTTCAGTAATTGCTCTATAAGCAATTTCTGTCATTGGAGAAACATAATTATCATCTATGTTGTCATAATGAATTACACATTTAATTTTGTTATCGACATCATCATTGCGGTTTCGTCGTATTGCTCCTCGTTCTGTCACCTGTAAGAAATTGTTTGGACAGTTAAGTGTAATTTTCACTTTAGCCTTGGTTGACATTTTGCAGATATCAAACAATGTGAGTTTGTAATGGGTTTATATAATGTTGTTTTATCAACAGTTTTAATAGTGTTTGATATGTCACCTAAATAATAATGATACTGTACATGTCAATTTACCTCCATGCCGAATGTCTTGTGTAAGATTCTTGTTTTTCACAGGTAGACCTACAGTTACATCCAAACTGCAAATTCGAAGCATACCCCTGGCCTAAACTATGTACCTGTACTCCTATACTACACTGCTAAAAGCCACTAGCAAAAAGAACAAACAGAAGTATTTGATAGACTCATTTAATGTATTTCCTCAAATAAACAATATATATGGTACATATATCCAACGTTCTACAGTAAATCGGTTTTATATACAACATAGTAAAGTGTTTAATTATTTCTAATAATTATCAATTTACCTGTATAAATGCTAATGATTATAATCCTCTACTGCAACCAGCTGCAATGGAAACTAATACTAGCTCTCTATGTCCTACAACTAGAAAATGCAATCAAATGAGACTAATGCACTACAGTACATGTATATAGGGTACACTGTTATTATCAAGAAGTGTTACTATGTTCCAAGAAACATATTTTATTTAATAACACAACATAAAGATGGTGAATAACACTAATTACAGTACAGCAGTTACAAAGAGTAAAAATAAATAGAAGTAAAAAGCATAATAGTATAATACAAAAAAATTATATATATATATATATATATATATTTGAATTTATATATATTTGAATATGTATTTGAATATAAATATATATATATATGTATTTGAATATATATATGTATTTGAATATATATATATGTATTTGAATATATATTTGATTATATATATATATATCCCATCTATTTATGTATTATTAATTTATTTACCTGTATATAATATGCCAATGAATGTTTATAATCCTTTACTACAACCAACTGCAAAGGAAACTAACACACTAGTTCTCTATGTCCTACAACAATTTAAAAAAAAATTCAATCATAATAGAAATATATACTATATTACTAACTGTATTGTACATTGGTAAGCTTACACTATGATGAGTTTACATTCTGAGGATATTTTTTACCGTAAGATTCGGTCAATCCACTTTTTGTAAGCATACGGTTGACAGGTGTTTCATTCAACGCCCCTAAGTTCCTTTCAGTAGTAATGCGTGTATGATTTTGCCTAGCTAGAGCCTAGCCTTCTCACCCTGAATCATCGCTGAAAATATGAAGATAAAATCTGCTAACATAAAAATTATATAAATTATTAAAGTTACCTGTATATAATATGCCAATGAATGTTTATAATCCTTTACTACAACCAGCTGCAAAGGAAACTAACACACTAGTTCTCTATGTCCTACAACAATTAAAAAAAAATTCAATCATAATAGAAATATATACTATATTACTAACTGTATTGTACATTGGTAAGCTTACACTATGATGAGTTTACATTCTGAGGATATTTTTTACCGTAAGATTCGGTCAATCCACTTTTTGTAAGTATACGGTTGACAGGTGTTTCATTCAACGCCCCTAAGTTCCTTTCAGTAGTAATGCGTGTATGATTTTGCCTAGCTAGAGCCAGCCTTCTCACCCTGAATCATCGCTGAAAATATGAAGATAAAATCTGCTAACATAAAAATTATATAAATTATTAAAGAATATAAAACATTGTACTAAAATACTAAAAATGAAATCATAAATCCATCTAATTTCTCACTTTCTAACGCTAATGATTATTTAATCACTTTTATAGGCCTACAGCACGATTTTTTGGTAATGATACACACACTGTACACGTCTCCGCGTTGCCTTCATCGGGAGTCGGTAACCTTCACTTGGGGCCTAGACTTGCTTTTTTTGATCACTGAAATACGAAGAAAAAAATATTAATAAACTTTTTTCCAAATTACAGGCTATTACTATTATCATT